CAAAAAAAAAAAAGAATCAGTGTTTTAATCACCTGATCATTTCTTGGTCTGTTGACTCATGGTTAGGCCTACTTTCAGTTGAGGTGCTATCTGCAGTTATCCCAGTCTGGAACTTGATTGCTGTTTACTTAATGAAACCTTTAGCATTTGTGCCAAATGTACTGTGAACTGCATTCATGGGTTTCCTTCTGTTCTATTACATCCTATTACTGTTATGTGGCCTGAGCTGTCTGATGGGCTGTGTGACTTTAAGTCTGACATCAGTCACTCCATTGGCTTTGAGACTTTGTCTCTTTCAGTCTTCTCTACTTTCCCATTTTATCTGTTTTTCTGCTAGCTTGCAACCTTTTTTATTCTCTGCAATGTTCCATTCATTTTATGTTGCTAAGTTAAGATTAAATTGCATACCATTTAGGATGGAGAGACATGGAATGAAATAAAAAATCAGTGAAAAATACCTTCAGCATGATGTACCTTTCTTTTTTGTTGTTGTTGTTATTGTTGGTCTTGGGGCTTGAACTCTGATTCTGGGCCCTGTCCCTGAGCTCTTCAGCTCAAGGCAAGCATTCTACCACTTGAGCCACAGCACCACTTTTGGTTTTCTAGTAGTTAATTGGAGCTGAGTCTCGTGGACATTCCTGCCTGGGCTGACTTTGAATCGTGATCCTCAGATCTTCGCCTCCTGAGTAGCTAGGATTATAGGTGTGAGCCATCAGCACCCGGCATGATGTACCTTTCTAAACTTTTTTTTAGTTGGTCATGGGGCTTGAACTCTGGGCCTGGGCACTGTCCCTGAGTTCTTCAGCTTAAGGTGAGTGCTCTACTACTTGAGCCGCAGTGCCACTTCCCTCTAAATTTTTTATATACTTGTATGTGTAAACATTTCCTCTATTACCCTATAGTATAAAGATGTAAATATTTTCATTGACTTACATATGTCTCTTTTCCCCGAAACTATAAAATATGTCTTTTTTTTATATAAAATATGTCTTTCTATGTGTGATGTGAGGAGTTCTACATTTTAAGAAAAAGCCAAAATAGGTCTTGAGATGGTTTTTTAATTAATTTGTTTTTAAGAAATAGTTTTGGGCTGGGAAGGTGGCTTAGTCATGAAAAGGCCCTCGGTTAGATTCCTCAGGACCATATAAGCAGAAAAAGCTGGAAGTGGCACTGTGGTCAAGTGGTAGAGCGCTAGCCTTGAGCCGAAGAGCTGAGGGACAGTGCCCAGGCCCAGAGTTCAGGCCCCATGACACACTCTCTCTCTCTCTCTCTCTCTCTCTCTCTCTCTCTCACACACACACACACACATACACACAAAAGTAAGTTAGTTTTGAGAGAGAGAGAGAGAGTGTGCTTGTGCGCGTGTGTGCGCATGGGCCAGTGTGCCAGTTTTGGGGCTTGAACTAAGGGCTTGGGTGTTATCCTTGTGCTTCTGTGCTCAAGCCTAGCCCTCTACAATTTGATCCACAGTTGCATTTCTGGCTGTTTCGGTGGTTAATTGGGGCTTTCTTGCCTGAGCTGGCTTCAAACCATGATCCTCAGATCCCAGTCTCCTGAATTACTAGGATTATAAGCATGAACCCTCAGCGATTAGCAGTAAGCTTGTTTTTATTTTATTTTATTGTTTGCTAGTCCTGGGGCCTGAACTCTGGACCTGGGCACTGTCCCTCAGCTCTTCAGCTCAAGGCTAGTGCTCTACCACTTGAGCCACAGTGCCACTTCCGGCTTTTTCTGCTTATGTGGTGCTGAGAAATCGAACCCAGGGCCTCATGCATGCAAGGCAAGTGCTCTACCACTGAGCCACCTTCCCAGCCTCTAAGCTTGTTTTTAATCAACTTGTTCTTCTTAATCTTTCGGTATTGTATTTTCTGTTAGTGTGTCACTTATGATTTGAATTACTAGAATTGCTGAAGCTGTTGTATTTTGTGCTTTTCCTTTTATATAGGAACATATGGATAGGTGACAAAGGGTAGATTGTACCTGAAAATATTTCATTATACCATTCCTTTCCTTTAAAGTTTTTGAAATATTATAGTTTATAGAAACATAAGAGAACAGTGTTCACCAAGAAAATTAAACAAATATAAACTCAGGTATCACAGAGCCACTCAACAGTGTTTATGATTGGATGGGTGCTTGGTTTAAAAGTAATCTGACTAGAATTCCATTTTTCTTAATGGTAAATCAAATGGATATGCATAAAACTCCATTTCCTTTTTCTCTTCTTTCCTTCTCAGATATAGCCACTGTCCTGCCTGTTTCTGCATCTACATGTTGCAGTGTTAGCCCTGCTCTTTCCTTTGTATTTGACATAAGCTCATCTAGTAAATATACATCTTGTTTGAAACACTCAATTTTACTATGATTTAACTCTTCTTTCTAGGAACATCTTCCAGAGCTCTTCGTACATTTTCAATCTCAGAGTTTTCATACCTCAATGTACGCATCGTCCTGGTTTCTGACTATCTTTCTTACAACTTTTCCACTACCAATCGCAACAAGGATATTTGATATCTTCATGTCTGAGGTAAGCTAATGAACAGATTATGAACAAGAGTTGAGCCAGGGGGTCAGTAGATTAATTAGAACAGGTCAGGGAAGGGAGTAATAAGGTAGCCTATGTGTCCCTGTTAAATTGCTTGCATGAATGATCTCACTGAAACTTTATAGCAGCCTTATAAGGTGGATAAATGACTATCTCCATTTGTTAGTTGATAGATAAGGAAGCACACTTAGAGAAAGATTAAATTAACTTATCTTCAAATATAGATGTATATGGGATAATGAATTCAGATGAAGGCACTTAAGATTTGGAGCCTGCCCTCTTAACCCTTATCACTTCCTGACCTGGATGGTGAGAGTGAGAGATTAAATTTGCTTTATAGAGGCTGGGAAGGTATCTTAGTGGTAGAGTGCTTGCTTTGTATACATGAGGCCCTGGGTTTGATTCCTCAGCACCACATAAGCAGAAAAAGCCGGAAGTGGTGCTGTGGCTCAAGTGTTAGAGCCCTAGCCTTGAGCTGAAGAGCTGAGGGACAGTGCCCAGGCCCTACAACTAGACCAAAAAAAAAAAAATTGCCTTATAGTTCATGTAGTTGCAGTACAGCTGTTATCCAAAGTAATTAGTATACTTTGAAGCTTCTTTTATTCTGTGAACACATGGCAAGGTTGCATTTTAATGGTCTGTGGTCTATGATAGTGATTCTTTGACTTCTGTTGTCTTAACTCAGTGTTAATTGTTACTAATTATATCTTAGGGACAATACTTGTATAACCCATTTTAATAGTTTGGCTTGGAGTTGACAAACTACGGTTCACTTCCGGATTTGTTGTCATTTACATGTCAAGTATGTCTTCCCACCTGTTTTTATAAAGTTTTCTTGGAGTACACCTTTGTTCATTAGTTCATACGTTTTTTATGTGTGCATTATGGTTACACTGGCTGAGCTAAATAGTTATGCAAAGACTGTATGGATTCCCAAGCCTAAAATACTTATCTGGCATTTTTACTGAAAATGTTTATTTAGATCATAAATGCTTACCTTACAATACTATTACTACTATTGCCAATACTAATAATTCATTATTTTGAATTTTAAATTTTCACCGATAGAGAAGTAAAACAAATTTGGCTTTCATTTGTTCCATAGGGTTTAGAAATAGTGTTTCGAGTAGGATTAGCCCTTCTTCAGATGAATCAAGCAGAATTAATGCAACTTGACATGGAAGGGATGTTACAGGTAAGTGTTCTGGATTCCTTGTATGTCTTCAGATTTACTGTTACTTAATAAGCAGCACTGAGTGGTTCTTCTGTTATTCTTTTATTGTATTTTAGCACTTTCAGAAGGTCATTCCACATCAGTTTGATGGTGGTCCAGACAAATTAATCCAAGCAGCTTACCAAGTTAAATACAACTCAAAAAAAATGAAAAAGTAAGTATTTGTACATTTTCTTTTTATTTATGGGGTTTGTTGAAATATAACAAACCTCAGAATATTCAGTGGAAGTGGCAAAACTTTTTTGGTTGGTATGGGGCTTGAACTCAGGTCCAGGGGGTTGTCCATGAGCTTTTGTGCTCTAGGATAGAACTGCTCCTTTGAACCACAGCTCTCCTTTTGATTTCCTGGTGCTTAATTGGAGATGAGAGTCTCCTGGGCTGATTTCCTGCATGGGCTGGCTTCAAACTGAGATCTTTAGATCTAAGCCTCTTGAGCAAGGTACAAGCATGAGCCACCAGTGCCCAGGCCATTTGTTATTTTAAAAACAAACTTAGTGGTTTTGTCTCTGATATTGATAATACTCTTTTCCTCTATTTGATTACCAGAATGTCACTAAAGTTCATGGTTAGCATAACCAGCAAGGTAGCTATGATAGACTGAGAATTTAAAATTTGAGAGAGAGAGAGAGAGAGAGAGAGAGAGTGTGTGTGTGTGTGTGTGTGTGTAAGTGTGTGTGTATAAGTGTGTGTAACTGGGAATGAAACCCAGGCTTATTTTCTTGTTTTTGGGTCCCGTTGTGGGGCCTGAACTCTGGACCTGGGTGCTGTCCTTCAGCTCAAGGCTAGCACTCCACCACTTCCGGCTTTTTTCTTTTTGCTTATGTGGTGCTGAGGAATTGAACTCAGGGCCTCATGTATGCAAGGAAAGTACTCTACCACTGAGCCACCTTCCCAGTCCCCCAGGCTTATTTTCTAATGAAGCACTTTTGGCTTGTATTTCATAAAAGTTCAAAATAAGCAGTTGGACTGTTTTGGTCATGTTTCATTTAGAAGTCATTATGTTGATGAAGAGTGATAGATATAGCTGGATGCAGGTGGCTCATGCCTGTAATCCTAGCTACTAAGGAGGCTGAGATCTGAGGATTATAGGTCAAAGCCAGCCTGGGCAGGAAAGTGTGAGATTCCTATCTCCAGTAAACCACCAGAAAACCGGAAGTGGCACTGTGGCTTAAGGGGTAGAGCGCTCACCTTAAGTTGAAGAGCTGAGGGACAGCGCCCAGGACCAGAGTTCAAGCCCAATGACTGACCCTCCCCCCCCACCCCCAAAAAACCTTAAGGAGTCATCTTAGTTTTCCTTTTTGGGGTGACATAACATTCAAATCACCATACACAAGAGATGTTTACTTTTAAGATTTGAAAAAGTTTAAGATTTTACCTAGATGTGGTGGCACTCATCTGTAGTTCTAATTACTTGGGAGGCTGAAGCAAGAAAATTGCTTGAGCTCAGGAATTCCAGGCCAGGCAACATAGAAAGATTCTGTCTCCAAAAAAAAAAAAAAAGTAGCCTTGAGAATGAGGCTCTTTCCTGGTAATTGGTTCCCCCCCACACACGTTTTTTTTTGTCAGTTGTGGGGCTTGAACTCTGGGCTTGGGTGCTATCCCTCAGCTCTTCAGCTCAAGGCAAGCACTCTACTGCTTGAGCCACAGCGCCACTTCCGGTTTTCTAATGGTTTATTGGAAATAAGAGTCTCATGGACTTTCCTGCCCAGGCTGACTTTGAACCATGATCCTCAGATCTCAGCCTCTTCAATGCCTAGGATTACAGGCATGAGCCACCGGTGCCTGGCTTTGATTCCCTTTTTAAGTCTTACCCCTATACAATTCATGTATATAATTTTAATCATCTTAATTACCAATTTTTCTCACTGATTCTTTTATTTCTTTTCTCATAATAACCCTGTTTTGCTTTATCAAAATCTCTATTTGAAACTGGGTGCCAGTAGCTCATGCCTGTAATCCTAGCTATTTAGGAGGCCGAGATCTGAGATGGTGGTTCAAAGCCAGCCGGGGCAGGAAAAGTCCAGGAGACTTTTTTTTTTTTCTGGTTGGGGACTTGAACTCTGGGCTTGGGCACTGTCCTTGCCCTCTTTAGCAAAAGGCGAGCGCTCTACTGCTTGAGCCACAGCAACACCTCCGGTTTTTCGTGGTTTATTGGAGATAAGGGTTTCACAGACTTTCCTGCCCGGGCTGGCTCTGAACTTCGATCCTCAGATCTCAGCCTCCTGAGTAGCCAGGATTACAGGTGTAAGCCACCAGAGCCCGTCTAGGGAGACTCTTATCTCCAATTAACTACCTAAAAACTGGAAATGGTGCTGTAGCTCAAGTGGTAGAGCACTTGCCTTTAGTTGAAAAGTTGAGGGACAGTGCCCAGGCCCAGAGTTCAAGCCACATGACCAACCAAAAAAAAAATCTTTATTTGATGTTCAGTAACTTCTAGTCTGAATAATTATTCTTCCTCTGCCATTTTGTATCATATGTTCATATAGACAGGAGTCACTGCATAGTCGGTGAGATTGTTGACAGTAGGCTATATTTCTTGTGTTTTTTCTTTTTTTTTGGGTCCAGTTGTGGGGCCTGAACTCTGGGCCTGGGCACTGTCCCTCAGCTCTTCAGCTCAAGGCTAG